TCTATTCCGACAACGGCACTAATTTCGTGGGGGCAAGGAATGAACTTAGAGAATTAGGACAATTATTAGTTAATCAACAACACCAAACGAAGGTACATGAATATACTGCACACAGCGGTATTAAATGGCATTTTATACCGGCACGCTCTCCCAGTTTTGGCGGACTATGGGAGGCGGCGGTAAAATCCTTTAAACACCATTTGAGACGAGTAGTTGGAGTACAACTTTTCACCTTTGAACAACTAAATACCTTTCTCATTGAAGTAGAAGCAATTCTCAATTCCCGACCTATCACTCCAATTTCATCTGATCCCACTGACCTCCAAGCATTAACCCCTGGCCATTTCCTGACTGGTGGCCCTTTAACGAATTTACCTGAACAGGATTTAAGAAACGTTGCCGCGAACCGGCTTTCAACCTGGCAACACATTCAACGGGTTCGACAGCATTTTTGGACGAGATGGCAGCGAGAGTACTTGACCGAATTAACCAGTCGAACCAAATGGACAGAAGGCAATCCAGAAATAAGCATTGGCAGACTTATTTTAGTCAAGGAAGACAACCAACCTCCGTTACGTTGGAAAATGGGACGGATAATCCAATTGCATCCTGGTTCCGATGGCATAGTTCGTGTAGTCACAATTCGCACCGCTACTGGTAATGTAGAGCGAAATGTTAAAAAAATCGCATTATTGCCGGTGAAAACCACAACTCAACCAACACCAGAAGACGAGATTCAACCAACTCATCACCAGCCATCACCACCAACAGAGAAATGGGACAAGTGATGTGTAGTGTATTTTAATGTGTTGTTTGTTCGTGTTAGTGAACAACGAATTTAATGGAACTATAGTGTAGTATGTAGAGACATTTGCTAGTATTAAGTTGACTATTAAAATTTGTATGATAAAAATATATATGTATATAGAGGAATTGATAGTATCGAGTCTTCGTTGATCGGGCCCACCCGTTCAACGGGGGGAGAATGTTAAAAAGTACGTGTTAAATTAATAATGGTTGTTTTGAAGCCATAAACTTTGTAAATATAGGTAGAAAAATTTTAGTTAATATTGTGCTGACCATCATAAAAATCTTTAGAGAAATTTAGTAATTTCTACCTTAGTTTACTACATTAATTGTTAAGTTCGAGCTCGGAAAGTTTGTTAATCCGCTAAATTAGTTTATAATCACGATTTGAAATTCTTAAACCTTTGCAATAGTTAAAGTGTATTTGCCTCTTCCGTTTACCTTTTTTATTACCTTTCTAATTTAAGCCAACAATGTAAAACCATTTCCCACCCTTGAATTCCCCCCACCAACTACCCTTAGAATTTAGTTTTGTAAAAGAGTGATCATTAGTTTTAAGTCGCAATAACATCGTCAACCGAGACGGACACGCAGCATCTTGCGTGCCCGATTGTAACTTCAGTTTATTTCTTTGTATATTATAAACAAATATACGATTCTGTTTTAATAAGTTACACCCTAACTTGTTATTTCACACCAATCATCCTAATTTCCCACACGCAAATTAGGAAACAAGTTTCAACGTTTCGTATCCAGAATTTATCGCGACGCGAGTGTTGAAATTTAAACACATATACTAAAAATATTACCTATGACCATTTCTATACTTTTATTTTGATACTCAAATAAAAAAAAATAAGCCGCCAATATCAAAGCGCTTTATAGCGGCCGACTCAAAAAAGGTGGTAACCTTTATCCTATGTATAAGTATTATATGCAAGAAAGTTTATCGTTACAAAGTAGTGATTGACTTTTTGATTTTGCGCCCCGAAAATGTTGCGCCTGCGTGCGTGCACGCACTGCACGCTCGCCAGGAACGGGCCTGATTAGAGTGGTTCTTATTTGGGTTGTTTTTGAAACTTTATGCTCCCAGGGGTTTAAATGTCCGCCATTTTGAATCCGCCATTTTGAATTTAAAAAATCTGATGACATATTTGTTATCAACGACCCCAAAAACACTAAACTAAATACGGATTTTCAAGTCAATCTGAGTACTCCTTGATATTTCGCCCACTTCTTAGATTTCCGAAATACTGTGTTGGCAAGATATTGGATTTTTAACACTATATATAATTATATATAATTGAATATTTTAAAAAATTGTCTTGTTTAGTATTATGTGAGGATTATGATATATAATGATGATTTACTATATATATTATCATAATATAATTATACTGTTAACAGAAGTTTTCGGGTAGTAACCCAGAGAACCAAGTTTTGGGAAAGAAGTTAGTCAAGAAGTTTGGTGCGTTTATTTGGACATGGATTGGATTGGATTTGTTGGGTTGGCTGTATACACTTAGGCCACGGTTGGCCCTTTGAGATCCTTTTTTTCTAGATTGTTGTTTGCATTAACCCAGTCTTCCTCTATTCACAAACAATGTGTATCACAATCTCTTCCCCCCAGTTACAGGCTCTGCAGAGAAGACTATTAACTTTTCTTATCTAGTCTATAGTTTCCCGTTATGATAATGACAATCTGGCCACATACAGTCTACAGCTATCTGGTCAAAACTTGTTTGACCATGGTTTTGACGAGATAGCTGTAGCTTGTGAGACGGATTACTGATTATAGTTTTGGTCTGACGGCAGTTAAGCCGATCCTTGTTCATTAGACTTTTCATTTTCTTTATTACCATTGTATCGTTTAACCCATTTAAGTTCTAGGACAATATTTATTGTTATTAACTTTAACAAGTTGGCTGCCGACATTAAAATTGTAATTATTTCCAAAGACAGCGAGCGACAATTTAAAATCATTATTAAAAAACGGCCTGGCCGCCCCCTGTTATTTTTAAGAATAACTAAAATTATCTACTGGTCGCTGGTGGTTATTTAACAGTGTTGAACCTATAGGATTTTATAGGTCGGCAACAGGAAGAAGTAACGTCATAATGATTCTATGCGATTTTTCATGTAACGTTTATGGTAATCTTTATTAAAACTTAAATATTAATATTATATATATATATGTATATACAGGGTGTCCCGAAATTAGGCGGCCAAACTTAAACAGTGCATTCTTTATAGAAAAATAACACTTTTTTGTTTAATAAACATATATCAAAAAATGCCCCCTAACGGAGCTACGCCCCCCTAAATAGGAGCTTAAGAGCATCATTTTTTTAAAACTATTCCTAGAGGGTTGAACATGAAGACCTGAATTTTTGGGACTTTGGTAATTTTGACATTCTGAATCTGGATCTATAATCAAAACTGTTAAAATTTAATCATAGGCGTAACATTTGAGGGGGCAAATTTACAAAAACAGCCCCAACTTTTTGCAGAGTGTGTATTTTAATGTTTTGTTATAAAATTATGAAAATGTATAGTTTTTCACGAAAAATAGGTACTCTTGCTTTGAATCACTCAAATGCACCATTTTCGAGAAAATTGCAATTTAAATTACTATGCTTAGCATAATTTCTAATATTTTCATTAAAAAGCTTTGGGACAAAAGAGACGTTTGGGTTATTTGCTGACTTTACATTTATTTTTATAGTTTAGTTAATATTTTTTGGCTCGATTTTTGTTATTTTTTATTAAGGAGCGATTTTCCAAATTTTAACACAAAATTTTAACGAAAATGAGAGGTGTGTATGCTATGCAGAGCAATTTATAAATGCATTTTTCTCGAAAATGGTGCATCTGAGCGATTCAAATCAAGACTACCTATTTTTCGTAAAAAACTATAAGTTTTCATAATTTCATAAAAAAAAATTAAAATATTATCTCGGAAAAAAGTTAGGGCTATTTTTATAACTCCCCCCCCCCCCAAATGTTACGCCTATGATTATTTTTTAACAGTTTTGATCTTGGATCTTGATTCAGCATCTAAAAATTACCAAAGTGCCAAAATTTCATTTCTTCACGTTTAACGCTCTAGGAATAGTTTAAAAAAAACTATTCTCTTAGGCACCTATTCAGGGGGCCGTAGCTCCGTTAGGGGGCATTTTTTTATACATGTTTATTTAACAAAAAAGTGTTACTTTTCTATGAAGAATGCACTGTTTAAGTTTGGCCCCCTAATTTCGGGACACCCTGTATATATAACAGTGGCTTTTAAGCATTTTAGTCAGGGGCTGAAGTTAGCTTTAATATAAATTGGGAAAAAGTGAGGTTAAATTTGGATTACATTACATTATGTTTTGTGTTCGTCGTAGATAAACTATAGTATGCAACTCGTTTTTATTAAACACTCGCTCGCAAGCTTTGCTCGTGCTTAATTAAACTCGTAACTAAAATGGCGTTTATAAAACTTGATACATAATATACTATTGTCTACTCCATACATTGGACACAAATTAGGTTAAAAGTGTCTGACAGATTTCAGATTGGGAAAAAGTAAAGTACCTAAGAACTGTCAGATGTCAGATTTTAAAATTTGTATTCATCTTATATAATATATAGTATGCAAGCTTCGCTTGTCCTAATTAATACTAATGACTAAAATGGCATCTATAAAACTTGTTATATAATAGGTGACGCGATCCGAGAAAAAGGACCTATAAGCTATAGCCTTCAAAAAATGATTTTCGAGATTATTCATATTTTAAGTAGAGTGGTAAAGATCTTATGAAAGGTTCGGATGGAATCTGTTCCAAGTCAAGCATTACTACCAAAACGTCTATTATGCCGTGCGATCTTCAATTGCATCTTCTGTAAAATTTCATCTGATTTTTGTATCGCGTCACAATCCTATTCTAGATGAGTTATAATGATCTATGAAAAAAATCTATCTTTTTGAACCATTACACCAGATAACATCCATGAAAAGTTTTTCTTAATAAAGGCTGCACATATAAAAAAATGGGTTTAAAAAAATTATAACCCTTAACCGTGTTTAAATTAAAATTTTAAAACAATGTGTGGGTTAATCCTAATATGAATAGTATGATTAATTTATGGTTCAATTTTGTACAAAAAGGTAAAGGTTAAATTTAAATGTTTTTTTTGTTAAAGATCTTTACCTTTTAGCCAGTTTCCTTGATATAGTCTCATCTGCCATGTATTTTTGTTATGTAGACTAGGTTCATCTCTACTTGTATCACTATCTAAATGTACCACACCCAAATGCGTGAATGTCTTAATAAAATCTGAATACGACATCCAGAATTCTCCTTCGGTAAGCTTTCCTTGGACCCTATCGACTTCCTGTGGGCTCAAATCAGACCACTCTGCAGAATCTATAGCCCAAGACCCGACGTATTCAGTTGACGGCCCCAGGGGATTTTTAATTTTAATCAATTGCAACGCCTCGCCATTAAAAGTATCGACCCGTTCGACAGAATATATCCTGTAGTTTGTCCCAATTTGTACCCCATTTGGCAGTTTTTCTGTATTGGATCGCACTTGATTGGGCGATTGTACTGCACAGGTGATGATTGACGTCATATCAAGTAGTTTGTGTAAGAGCCTGGCGCAAGAGGTGGCGTCTTGTCTTATGGGGATGCTTTCTGTGATTCCCCCAGTGAGATCCGCTAGACCGTCCAGCATTGAGCCATATTTTAGAGCCTCGTATGAACCATGCAACCTTAAAATACAAAAAATATAAATAAATGATTGTAATTTTTTTGCCTAAAATGCCTGTAACAAATGCCTGACGAAAAGGTTGGAAAGTGTCATCCGATACTTTACGACCCGTCACTTTTATCGTTAATGATATTGTCATAAATTAAAGAGATGTGTTAGAGCTTTGCTTTTCAGAATTTTATAAAATATTTGCATTGTGATTTATCATTTTGTTTAATAAACACGCAGCAATATAAATTTGAGTTCAATAATTAAAATAAATTGAGGACACATCTGACGACGATACAAACAATATCGTTATTATTGGTAGGGCTTTCTCACTCTTTTTCAAGATAAGTTATATCCCTTGGCTAACAAGTAAAATGTACCCTTAACAACCATATTGTAAAAACATATTTAATTATATATGTGTATATTAGGGTGATTCATTTCCGCAAAGTTTTTGTTTTTTTTCGGTGCTCAAGCAAAATATTAATCTACCTATAGAAAAAAAAATTTTCACCAAGGTAGAGCTCTTAATATCAATTTTAAGTACTTGCAGTTTAAATTTAAAGTTTTCCCATTTAAAATGCATGTAAAAAAATGGTTTTTTTTTTTCAAATTTCTAATGCTTACCCACCTTTGACAATATTGCAAATCGGTTTAATACACCTTATGGGGAATTTCACGCTCTTTAAAATTGCTTTTGAGTTTTTTTTTGTAACTCGCATTGGTTCACCAGTAGGAGTCGTCAAAGCACAGTTTTTGAAAAAAAAATTTTTTTTTTTTATTTTTTCGAGCAAATTGCCAAAAGTAGTGAGAAAAAAGGGCTGATTCATAAAAAAAAGTTATCCAACCAATATTTAATGAAATTACTGCCATTTTTATAACTGAAAACGTAAGAAATTGATAAATACCAACCTATAATGTTATTTAGATTGATTTTTTCTATTTATTATCATTATATTTCCCTCACTCATAATGAATATGAAAACAACACATACATATTTCAAATTTCGCTTCAAAAAATTAAATAATCTTCATTTATATTTTTTTGCTATTTTTTTATGAATTTATCTGTTGTTTTCATATTCATTATAAGTGAGAAATTAATAATTTTAAAAAACTTCTTAGTGTAGGGAAATATAATGATAATAAATAGAAAAAATCAATCTAAATAACATTATATAACTCATATGAGTTGGTAATTATCAATTTCTTACGTTTTCAGTTATAAAAATGGCTGTAAATTCATTAAATATTGGTTGGATAACTTTTTTTTATGATTCAGCCCTTTTTTCTCCCTACTTTTTGCGGTTTGTTAGAAAAAATTAAAAAAAACGATTTTTTTCAAAAACTGTCCTTTGACGACTCCTACTGGTGAACCAATGCGAGTTACAAAAAAAACCTCAAAAGCAATTTTAAAGAGCGTGAAATTCCCCATAAGGTGTATTAAACCGATTTGCAATATTGTCAAAGGTGGGTAAGCATTAGAAATTTGAAAAAAAAATATATTTTTTACATGCATTTTAAACGGTAAAACTTTAAATAGTAAGTACTTAAAATTTATATTAAGAGCTCAAACTTGTTGAGAATTTTTTTTTCTATATGCAGATTAATATTTTGCTTGAGCACCGAAGAAAACAAAAACTTTTCTCCCTACTTTTTGCAGTTTGTTAAAAAAAATTTAAAAAAAAACCGATTTTTTTCAAAAACTGTCCTTTGACGACTCCTACTGGTGAACCAATGCGAGTTACAAAAAAAACCTCAAAAGCAATTTTAAAGAGCGTGGAATTCCCCATAAGGTGTATTAAACCGATTTGCAATATTGTCAAAGGTGGATAAGCATTAGAAATTTGAAAAAAAAAACATTTTTTTTACATGCATTTTAAATGGGAAAACTTTAAATTTAAACTGCAAGTACTTAAAATTGATATTAAGAGCTCAAACTTGTTGAGAATTTTTTTTTCTATATGCAGATTAATATTTTGCTTGAGCACCGAAGAAAACAAAAACTTTTCTCCCTACTTTTTGCGGTTTGTTAAAAAAAATTTAAAAAAAAAACGATTTTTTTCAAAAACTGTCCTTTGACGACTCCTACTGGTGAACCAATGCGAGTTACAAAAAAAACCTCAAAAGCAATTTTAAAGAGCGTGAAATTCCCCATAAGGTGTATTAAACGATTTGCAATATTGTCAAAGGTGGATAAGCATTAGAAATTTGAAAAAAAAACATTTTTTTTACATGCATTTTAAATGGGAAAACTTTAAATTTAAACTGCAAGTACTTAAAATTGATATTAAGAGCTCAAACTTGTTGAGAATTTTTTTTTCTATATGCAGATTAATATTTTGCTTGAGCACCGAAGAAAACAAAAACTTTGCGGAAATGAATCACCCTAGTGTATATATATATATATATTACATAATCTATTATCAAATGTGTTAAATACAAACATGAGTTTTTAGTTGAAACAGCTTTGACTATTTTATTAATTTTATGAAATGGCGACTACAAATATTTCCAAACAATATTATTCCGGAAATTTAACAATAAGGCAATGTGGTATTTTTTTATAAGAACTGCGAAATTGGTTAATGCCACTAACCATATTACCAGATTAGGCAGCTGCAGTTTTATTTAGTTAAAAAAGTTGTAATGCAATATTCTATGCATAGAAATAATTATATTAAGTTACTGATGCATATAAAGGATTTTTATATTTTAACGAGATAATATTTTATTTTATGCACTGTCGAAGATGATCTTTTTAAAACAAAGGTAGCAATAAATCAATCCTAAAATATCGTTTTGGAAATATAAATTTTATTTCTTAATAGATTTAGTTTAAAACTTAACCTAAAGGAGGTTTATTTAAAAATCTAATTTGGAACTTAACATTACATTTTAATTCAAAATGAGCTATTTAAGTTTAACTAGGTTTATTGTATAATAAAATATTAGTGTTAATAGTCCATTATCTACATTAAGTATTTATATTGTAAAATTTGGCTTTTCATGCTTTATCTAAATTAATTTTCAATATTTATTAAAAACAAAAAATATTCCATTAGTAAAAAAACAAAAAAAAAATATACTTTTGGTCTGAACAGGGTGATTTATAACGGAAGTTTAATAATTCCGTATGTAGTATGCTCCACACTAGGGCTGTACAATTTAGCCGGTTAAGCTGGCTAAAAAAGTTATCTAAGTTAATTAGGTAGCTAACTGATCAACTTAGCTTATTTAACCGGTTAACTAAATTAGCTCAGTTAATTAGCTGGCGGCTTAACCGGTTAATCTAGCTTAGCTCCGCTAATTAGCTAACGGCTAACCGGCTAATTAGCTGAGCTAAGCTAGATTAACCGGTTAAGCCGCCAGCTAATTAGCTAAGCTAATTCAGTTAACCAGTTAAATTAGCTAAGCTGATCAGTTAGCTAGCTAATTAAGCTAACTTTTTTAGCTGGCTTAAATCCCACGTTGACATTTAAATACAAATACTTGAGGTTATATAACTGCAAATTCTACGCTAATTTTATCTTATTTTTTATATGCATTTTTTGTGTATCAAGGCCTTATATAGAATTTAGAACAAAATTTAGCACTAAACACAAATAGATATCCTCAAAGTTTGCATTTTGCATTTAATGTGGACGTTTGACATAACAATGTGCATGAATTTATTCTACAGTGTAATTACACTTAACTATACTGATTTCGAGCTAAATTCGAGCCATAGATAAAACAACTCTTCCTATATAATTTCTATGTACTTTCATTATTAACTTTTGAACTCCGTAAAAAGTCTTTCTATATAGGTTTATGATTATTGTAATACGTTTTAATTCAAAACTTTCGAACAATTTTGTCGATACCTAACTAAAATTTACCCTAAAAAATATCTTGTCTTTTTGTTTTCTATTTACCTGGTAAATTAAAAATTTAAATTTATTATTTTTAATTTAACAATAAATAACTGCCATTGGCGTGTTGTTATCGTGGGATGGAAAACATGTCGTATTTCCTAATTGTTATGTAAAAAGCGAACAACAATACCGCGAAAATAATACAGGAGTGGCTAATATAAATAGCATAAGCAGGTTGCTGCATTTGTTGGTATTTCATGCGTCACAAATTGTATCACATACTTTAAGGTCACTTAATGCACTTGTTTTAGATTTACCCACGTTAAAACCACATCTATTGGTATATAGATTTGTCATAGCTGTAGAATAAAACCACAATTTACAATTTGCCACTTGCAAAATAATATTTTAGTTTGTTGCAAACGAATTACAAAAATCAAATCAAGCTTAATAATTCAATTAATTTAATTAAGTTGGTCAAGTGTTTTCTTTGCTGTATGTACTTTCTAAACAACGTATACTCTATGCTACGCTACTGGGTTCTTAAGAATTATTTAAAAGTTATTAATTGGCCCAGTGCGAACGTAAAGTTTTTAACATGATCTAGTTTACAGATATTATAGCGAGATTGTTTTCTTTTCAATATCGCACCAGCAGGCAGTGATTGGGTGTTGTATAATATTATTGGGATCGTCAATCTGGACAGCAGGTGATATAGAAAGTTCCACATGCTTGCGATACATTTTTTACAGGTTGTCAACGTGAAAAAATTGATTATTTTATAGCACAGTTTAGTATCTAATTTGTCAGGATTTAATGAGGTTCGTTGTTTATTGGCTATTGATATCTCCATTTTATTTATAAATTGAAAGGAATAATTTGTGACGAATGTTTTATGATTATAATTATTATTAAATGGTTTTACAATATAAATTAAATAAATTTACGAATTGCGATTATTATGTAAAAACCTATAGGGACATAAATTATAAATTTTATAACCATGCTTATGCTGGGGATTTCCTAACATATATATTTCTTTTTATATGAGGACTGGTGTTAATTTTGTATTCTAGTATTATGGATGAAGACTTATAAAATTAAAATTATAAAATTGCGTAAACTATTTTTCTTACCGACTAGGCCGCTTGTATTT